TTAGCTTTATAATGAGTGGATATGTTTCTCTGTGTGTGTGTTTGTGTGTGTGCACGCGTTTTTAATGATGTTTTAAGTGCTACTGCTGTTGCTGTTAATCCCCACATATGTATGTGTGTACATGTGTGTTGATGAGTGTTGTGGATGTGTTGATTTTGTTATTCAATTTTGGCGCAATATTTTTTTTTCTATGCACATTAGCAACACATTTTAGCCGTTGCTCATACTTTGCTATCATTAAATTTGTTGTTGTCACATGTTGCTTTATAAAAGCTCAGAAACAAAAACCAAAAAACAACGACAACGAGAAGAAGTATTAATATTGCATTTCCGATATGTGTTGTAGCAGTAACAGTAACAGCAGCAGCAGCAACACTGTTAATTGCAATGTGTGCGAGTATGTGTGTTGTGGCAATAATACTGACGCCAAACTGTGGTGCATTATGAGACATTAGTTGCAATTTGAAAAACTTTTTGGCGCCAATAGAATCATTGTTGCTACTGCTTGTTTGTAAGAAACATGCTTAAAAGAAAATATTCTTTTTAGTAAAGTTTAAAGTTGGTCTCGTAATATAATTTTTAATATGAATACCATAATCTTCTTTAAGTTTGTGAAATTGTCGAGAAAATATTTGCAAAATATGTAAATATTCTATTGATTTGATATAACAAAACTTAAACTTATTGAATTAAAATTTCAAATTTTTTGCTGAACATTTTTATACCTTTCATAGATATCGTGGAAGATGGCGAAATTGTTTTTTTTATTTTTAATTTTTTTTTGTTTCATTTTTTTTTGTTTTATTTTTTATTTTTTTTGTTTTTATTTTTTTCATTTTATATTTTTCATTTTATTTTATTTAATTTATTTATTTTATTTATAATATGTAGTCTATCAATAATTATATATTTCACAATATATAATTATTTTTATTTTTCTTTTTTTTAACAAAAAAGTTTAACATATCTAAATTTACAAATAATGTAGTTACATATCATGTGGAGAATTTACTTGTTTAAATGGCCATACCGTTTCGAGCTGACACACCATGTCTGTCCAGGTGCCTCTTCTGCGAGTGTGCATTCTCCAACCTCGTACATCATGCGCGGTTATTGCTTTCCCAATTTGAGAACTTCACTGGAGATAGGGTCTACTTCTACGATTTCTTTCTCCAGCTACCGCCACAAATACTTTTTTTTGTGGAATATTTTTATCCATTATTATGACATGCCTAAGTCAGCAAAACCGCAGCTGTTAATTCACAAAATTATATTAAAGCCGTGATAAAGGTATTACAGTTCGTGATATTCAAATCATCGCGATAATCGTCGTTAATTCGTAGAGGACCAAAAATCGTACGAATAACTTTTCTCTCCTGTGAAGAACTACTCAAGATACTTCCCTTCAGATGCCAGATAAGTCTAACTGCGAGTCCTAACCCTCGTGATACCAGATTTACACCACCGGTCTGGTACCGCAAGTGAAACTTACTTACCATTATTTATACTCCAAATAATACCAGGTTATGCCTACTGGATTTCAATTACCTCTTACGTTAGACATACTTAAGCTCTGGAATATTCTAACCCCTATCCTGGAGTAGAATGTTGATCGTAGGAAAGAAACTGCGTCAGCGGTGGAAGTGGTAAACAAATACCAATTGAAATCTTACTAGTTTCTAAGCGCATAAGAAAACGGGGTCAGTTATATTTGATGAAAGAAATTTGTTACAAATACTAGAGTTTAAATACTATTTGAGAACTTGGTTTATTTAATACAATACCTGTAAGTTGTATGTCTTATATAAGACATGTAACACAATATATATAAGACAAGATATACGCATATGTTGTCAATGTTGATCCAGACGATCTCATCTGGAGATCGTCATTATATTTTGCCTTGTGAAAAGGCTATTGGTATCTTTAATTATATTAAATTATATTACATTTTAATAAGTATAACTGTTATTTTATAGAATATGTTTTCTAATCGCTTTAATAATTATTGCTTTTGCTGTGATTAGCATTATGATTAAGATCAGGATTATAAATGCGTTTGGGGCTATGACTCGGATTACTATTATAACTGGGTTTAAGATTATGATTAGGACTGGGATTATGAATGGAATTAGAATCATAACTAGGATGAAAATTATGTGTGACTAGTATTAGAATTATAACTAAGACATGGATTATGACTATGATTAGGATAATGAAGTCTTGATTGCGCTTTTGAACAAAGCGAGTTGGAGTAAAGCCCCTTAAATATATAATTTAAATAAGTCTATAAGAGATGTTTCTATATTGTTATATCATGTTTATGATCTTTCTAAGAGTCATAATTTTTATGTATATATATGTTTTTTAATTACAATAGCAACATATACATTAAGATATGAAACTTACACTGCTGACATTAACACCTTTGTGTAAAAGCTGTAATCCCATCTTTTGACAACTGTAACATTAATTTGTCAAGTAAAACTCAGTAGTCGTAAGTTTTTTAACTTCGTGCGTATTTTGTTGATTTATTTGCTTTGTGTTGTGCTGATTTCGGGGTACTGTCAAAGCGAGGTACTAGACTGCCTGGTCTGTGCGCATGTCCTGGGCTCTGTTGAAATTTTTCTCATTTTTCGTTTTAGATATTTGCCTTTCCCTGTGCTATGGTATGCTGTGCAGTGCTTGTTTGCTGGTAGCACAAGAAAATTGTTGAAGTATCTGTGGCCATATTTCACAGTTGTTTATTTTTTGCCATTACCGCCTGAGGATATTTTTGCAATAATTGCAAATACTTCAATATTAATTTATGTTTATTCATTTTAAATTTCGAGTAGAAGAAATTTAATTTTATATTAAGGAACTTTTGTTCTAAGTGCTTTTTACTTTCTGGGCTGTTTTTTTTTCTTCATTAAAATTTTTCTATAAAAGTCTTTATATTTTTATATGATTTTTATAAATTTTAAATATAAAAATTATATAATATATTATATATAGATTGAAATGTTCTGTATTTATATGTACAATATATTATTTAATTATATATTTTAGGTATAATGTTTTTATATTTTTTTTATATACTTTCCATACACATATTAATTTTCTTGTACTTAATAGTTTAGTGCATATTTTTTTCTAAACCTTTTAATGATGTTTTCAAGCGCATAGAATGGTTTTTCATATTTTCATGCCATCCATTCTACTTGACCCTAATAAGTTTGAATTTTATGGTGTCGTCACACTTGGTTTATTTTGAAATCATTTCAAACAAGTTAAGTTGAATTGAGTTGAGTTCAGTTGAGTTGAATCGCCTTGTGTTGTGTAGTGTAGTATAGCTAGTTCATTGTGTTGAGTTGAGCTGGGCTAAGTCGTCTTAAGAAGATGTGTTGAGTTTGGTTTCGCACAATTGATTTGTACTGAATTGGTTTGGGCTTTTCTCTGTGGTATGATACGCGTGTGTGTGTGTGTCTGTGTTGTGTAATGTGTTGAGTTCAATTTGTGCCATGTTGGAAATGTAAATGATTTCTGATTTGCGGTGCTGTTATCGTAATGACATTCGCAATGAAAACGTATTTTAGTTAATTAAAATAATGGAATATACACTTTTTTTTGCAAAGTATTATTTTCTTTCCTTGAAGTGTGAAATTCGTTTTGGAAAAGTAGAGGTATGGATAAATAAGTAAGGTTGTTAAAATTTTACTTCGAATTTAGGTCAAATTTATCAGCATTTTAGTTTTTGTTTAATAGCTATTGTAATAAAAATTGATTAGAATATTTTGACTCGAAGGCAGTTAAATGGTTACCTAGTATTGTTAATAACTTCTCGAATTTCAAATTTTAGCTAATAAAAATAAATTTTTTATACAAAAATCTACATTTTAGGTAGTATTAAAAGCATGAAATTGAAAATAATTTATTTAAGTATTGAAAATGCTTAATATAAGAATTTCTTTAGAAAATATTCTTCTTACTTTGTACAATTTTAACGGCACTTTAATTTGTTTTTTTGGGTATTTCATGCTTCTATAACATCGAAAATATTAAGACATAGGTTTCCTATACAATATTTTCAATATGTTCATTGTTTTTTACTCCTTTGTCTCTTTTTAAGTGCTGTTACCTACCACTGTTACCACTGTGTATTGACATTTTGGTTTTTTTCTTTCCGAAAAGTGGTATGCTAGTTATCACTTTTCTAGATATGACTTTTTTCCTTTTCTTTCTTCTCATTTGCTTGATAAAAAGCGAGTTAGTATCTAAAGCACCTTTACTCAATAGTATCTGTGACCACTTGAGTGATCTACTATAATAAGAGTTCCATTAAATTATGATTATGAGTTATTCATATAATTTTACAAAAGTATAGTTTAAAGCCAATATATCATCCTGATAGAATATATACAGCATCTGTTTTAGAAAAGTTGATCGTTGTGTTCATAATCCTTGTGGCTCAGTCCAATAACATGGTCTATCATTTATTTAAAAAAATTGATTAAACAATCGTCTTTTAATACTTGTGGTTTTTATTTCAAAGAGTTCTACAATTTATTCTATTGAAATGTTCCATCACATACACAGTCCTCAAATCGTGTTATCAGACATTTCTTATCATTCTCATTGTTAGAGTGATATAGATATGTATCTCGTATGTATGTATGTAGTATCTATCTCGTGAGTACGAGCGAGATAGATAGGAATATATTACTTTAATACTTAATATATTTATTATGTGTATTAAAGCTAGGCTTTATGGATAAAATGTCTAGAATAAAAATGACTTTTTTATATAGATAGTTGCAAAATATTATCTCAGACTTAAGCAATAAACCGAACATTAATTAAATAATTATTTTACTGACTTAATATTAAGTAGCTTTAATATTTTTTGATCTT